TTCATTTTTCAAAGTTCTATTTGAATAATTATTCCATTCGATTCTAAGAGTATTCATAATAGGATAGCTAAAATTATTTGTTAAAATGTGTGTTATATGATAAAAAGTAATAAAAGTAGGACCTAAAAATGTGTGTTAAGGTGTCTTAAGAGTTGTTAGAGTGAGTGGTGGTGATATGTTAAGGTGTGTATTAAGATGTGTGTTAAGTGTATATATATATAAATAATAAATAAAATAGTATAAATAATATGTGTTAAAGGTGTGTGTATTATATATATAAATAATGTGTTAAGGTGCAATAGATGAAGACAGCAGAATTGGGCAGGACATCTGGCAGGTCAACTGGCCGGTTGACCGGTCAATGATAATGTTTTTTTTTTTTTGAAGGGTGGGGACGTTCGAGGGACGATCGGTTGGACGTCCGGGAGATGACCAACTGGACATCCGATTAGACAATCCCAAGGCACTTTCCCACGTCCCCCTCTCCGTCTTACCTCTCTCTCACTTGCTAAAACGCTAGCCACAGTTAACAACTGACACTAACGAAACTCACTAACACACTATTTAATATTTTTATTGTGAAATCCAAACATTATTGTAACTAATTAAAATTTGATCACTGAGACTAATACAATCACTAATGCTCTAATAAACCAAACACATGAGAAGACTTTAAAACTCTAATTACTGATCTAGATCCACCAATTAAATTTTGGGAATATTGTTAGTGATTATTTATTATACTGTTTGATCACGATTCACCCCACTTTATCTCTTTGCTTCACCAACCACAGTTTTGTACTGTGGACGACGTGATCATAATCATGATTATTTTCATACTCCTGACAAAAGATGCCCATGTCCCTTGCATGTAAACAAAGTTTTATCTCTTTGGTAAACTTATTTGCTAATCTACCCTTTTGCTAATCAAACAAAGTTTTGTGTTATAATTTAAAGGGAGAAATTACAAGAGTGGGAAGGCCAAAAATTATTTATCAAAAACCTTTTTTTGTTATTTTTTTATTAAAAAAGTTACACCCCTCATGTATTTATCAATATTTTTAGTCTTCTACAACAATTTATAATTTCCTTTAATACAACTAGATATTAGTTGCTTTTTCTTAGGTTTGAACTCCAAATTTTCTTTAAACACATAAATGTACAATCACTTAAGTTATGATTTTGTTCAAGTTCAAATTCATATATTTTCTTTATTTCTTTCAAATCACATATCAATTTAGATTTTCACCTTATACTAATTTCATTATGGTGATCATATTGCACTTTCTTATTATTGTATCATATGATTTTTGTTACACTTCTTCTCCTATCATTTCTATTTACGAATCACACTCGTCAGTGTATATTTATCGACTTTTATTGTATGTAATCAAATCATTTCATTATGTCGTTTTCTTTCTTAACTTAATTTTTGTTGTATTAATATACTCTTTTTCTAGTGACCAAAATACTCCAAATGCAGTGTGATCAATCATATGGTATCAATCAACCTTTGTTACACATGATCAAATCATCTTAATAGGTCTTTTTTATTAACTTATTTTGTTGTTCCAATCTACCCTTTTACTAAATGACCAAAATACCCTCATACCCACAATATTAGAGCTTTACACACTTTTGTTGATCAAAATACCCAAAGCATCTCAGAAACCAAGAAGCCGACAACTTGGACCATTTTGGGCATCATTTAAATACCTGTCAACCGTTTCCACAATACCTATCTCAATTCCTAGCTTCGGACAATTGAGAGAAATACCCAAAAAAGAAAAGGAAAGCCCAAGAAAGCAATGAAAGAACAAACAACTACCAAAACCATACATTCTCATGGCTAAAACCATTCATGAAGCCACCGGAAAGATGACTCAACTCTGCCGGAAAATCGTTCAGGCCAACACTAGGTGGATTATACTCGAAAGGGTATCGATTTTCCGGCAATTTTTTAGGTCCATTTGGGATAGAATTCTTGTTTGCACCATAAGAAAGCCAACTCAATATCGGCGTTTATCGCGCCGGTCTTCTTCTCCGGCAATGGAGGCCATGGAGGCCGGTCTCGAATTGCCAGAGGATCCGACGACTACGGGTGGCGGGTACGATACGGATTCAGATTTGGTGTCTTTGAAGATCAGTATATTGGGTGATTGCCAAATTGGAAAAACAAGCTTTGTGGTTAGTATACTTATCATTTTTTTGTGATTAAAAAAAAAAATTAAACAAAATTCTCTTCATTCACCACCAAGGTGGTAGCCTAGCGGATGGGGGATTTCTCTCACTTGGTTTGGTGAGAAAAAGGCTTTGGGTTCGAGTTTTCTAGAAGGAGATATAATTTTCATTCATCTTTGTTCCTAGTTTCTGTTCGTTGAAACCCTGTAATAGAGTTGGGAAGTTATGACTTAAGTCCGTCTTGACCCTGTAATAGAGTTAGGATCAAGTTATGACTTAAATCCGTCTTTGAGAGACTATTAGTAGTTTCTCTCCCATGTTTGGCCCATTTACACTTGGTTGCCCTTCTATCCTTTTTTGTCAAAAAGCAAAAAATTTCTCTTCATTCACATATATGCTTAGGATTGCATACATATTAAACCATTTAATGGGAAATAACAATTTTTTTATTTTTTATTTTTGGGTACTTTTGTTTTTTAAAGATTAAATATGTAGGAGATGAGCAAGGAAAGGGATGCTTAGAGATGAAAGGGTTAAATCTAATGGATAAGACAATGTTTGTTGGAGACACAAGGATTGCTTTAAGAATATGGGATGTAGGAGGTTAGTACTTGATTGTTTACTTTTCTTTTTAATTTGTCATCAGAATTACTCTCATAATTATTGCTATTGTGATGTTAATTGACTGAATTCTATTTAACTAAAATGTTAATTTGTTCAATTTTAATTGTTTGGATATAGGTGACCACAGATCACTTGATCAAGTTCCTATTGCTTGCAAAGATGCAGTTGCAATTTTGTTCATGTTTGATCTTACTAGTCGGTGTACTCTAAATAGGTATGTATCTTCTTAATTTAGCATTAATTGCTCCCAGCCACGTGATGCTCCATGGTAGTACGATTGATAGAGTATATGGAGTATTGATTATTTATGTTGAGTGATTGAAAAATATGTGGAGTATAATAAATGATTATTGGTGAACGAGTATGGTCACATGTTATTCTGAAACTATTATATAATTTTTCATGAGTTCTACTTGTACAATATTTGTGCACAGAAATGAAAACAGAATAGAGAGGGGTGGGGCCTATAGTTTTGTAACCTCACCTAGAGCTAATGAGTCGAGTAGTAAGTTATTCAAGTTTGACTTTAAAACTTAACAAGGTTCAAAATATATTCAAGTTGAATTTACGTAGTTTGATTTTTTATAATGCATATAATCGAGTCGAGTCAAGTAACAACTGTTTAAGTTTGATTTGAAAATTTAACGAGTTTTAAAATATATTTAAACCTGATTAGTTTATATAACAAGGAGATCTCGAACTAATGAGTCAAACTTGAGTAGTTTGGTCCATTTTTATAGCCCCAGTCTCAACCCTTCTTTATATTTGGCGGACGTGTTTTGTATGGACAACATAGTTGCAAGATTATATAAAATCACTCTATATATCTCTTCTCAAACAGCGATGATAAGAGTTTTATGCATTAAACAATCCTTATATATGTGTGTTTTGGGTATAATTGCAGTGTTATTGGATGGTACAATCAAGCAAGAAAGTGGAATCAGGTACTAATTTTATTTTTGTAAATTATTTTCATGTAACTAATTACTTGGTAGTTGTAGTATTGTCCTCTTTTATTTAGTATAATAGAAAATAATATATATATATATATATATTATTGGTATAATTACAACATTTTTACTAGAATGTTATACACAACAACCACATTGTTGTAATTGGTAGAACTTCATTTTCATTGATGAGACATTTGAGATTATTAATAATCTAATCATTACACAATTGGACAAAAACCTTTATAATTTTAGAACAATTATAAAGGACAAAAAACATTTATTTGATCATCAGTTTGATGTTATCTTCAAGACTTGGACCCTACAATAAGTGAAATTTCACACTATAGCAACAATTCTAAGTACTGAAATGAAGTCCCAGAATTCAATATGTAGGTATTGTTCCATTTTTGTTCATTCCTAAATGTTTTTATATTTATTTTCTTAATTGTTTGTAGACTGCGATTCCTATATTAATCGGGACCAAATTCGATGATTTTGTGAAACTTCCACCAGATTTGCAGTGGACAATCGTGACTCAGGTATTTATAGAAACTTGCAACAACATTACATCCAAACAATTTAATCCCCCACAAACCCAAAATATAAAAAATGACGTGGTAAGACATAATGTAAGGAAAATTTTGAGAGAATATTGAAGTGTGGGTCAATTTTCTAAATTTTACTTGTCATGTCATTAGAGGGGATTTGTAGGGGAAAAATTATGTGGATGAATCATTTTTCATAAACTTAATTAATCGCATTTTTTGTATAATTGTTTCAATAATGTAACAACCCAAAATATAATAAATCAAGAAATCCTAGTCTTTTTAAAATTTAAAATAAGAATTTGTAGTAATATATGGGTTTACATATTTTTTCATTCGTGATCTTAAAATCTATTCTTAATGAGATTAGAGTGTATTAAAAACTGAAATATAAATTTTGGTGACAGATAATTCTTCATCGGTTAAATAGTATCCATCTTTTTCATTTAAAGGAAGTCCCACCATTTGTTGGCTTGTGTATGTTTGGGAGACTTCAAGTCTTATTCATTTGTCAATTCTCATAGACCTCTTTCCACAAGGCAAACAAAATTATGAGATGGTTTAAGGACACCACGTGTTTATATTTTTCACCAATTATAAAATATGAAGTTTTTTTTTTTTTTTTCTAATATTTTAATATAAATTTATAAATTTTACTTCTTTTATCAATCATAACATCTCGCTTAGTCATGTTCTAAGAGCATCTCCAATGCACTAGGCATATAATACTTGTTAGTTAAAATGCTTAGTGTGATTCACTTTTTTCAATTCCAATGCACTAGGCATATGATTAGGCATTTTGGCTGAACTCATATTCACTAGCTACATGTAGCTAGCCTTCAACGCTAGGCAAAATGTATTCAATCATTAGGATCATTTCCCTCCATCTTTGTTGTTGACATGGCATTCTATAAAATTAATAGTATTTGGATAAATAGGTAAAATAAAAAGCATGATTGGAGTAAAAACATAAAACAGTTGATAGGTAAAATAAAATATATACTTTATAATAATATTTAGATAGGTAAAATGCCTATTACCGTTGGAGATGCTCTAAGACCACCAAATAAACTTCTCCACTAGGAGATAAGCACAAGGGGTACTTGTTTTTATCAAAGTTGGCACAGGAAGATTTGAACAATCCCTTTTACTTTATCAAAATTGAAACTTTCTTAAAAGAAGTTATTCTCTTTATCACGACATATAGATATAGATAGCTTTACACGTCAACTTTGCTTCTTTGAAATTATCATATCTTATATTTGTGAATCTTTTTCTTTTTCTTTTTCTCTTTTCCTGTTTTTGGGGACAGGCAAGGGCTTATGCAAGAGCAATGAAGGCAACCCTTTTCTTCTCAAGTGCTACCCACAACATCAATGTCAACAAAATCTTTAAATTCATAATGGCCAAGCTCTTTAACTTGCCTTGGACTGTGCAGAGAAATTTGACTCTTGGAGAACCCATCATCGATTTCTAATTTAGTTTTTTTTTTTTTTAATTTTTGTCTTCATCCATTTATACATAGCCATAAAAATAGAGAAAAAATAAAATAAAAGAGGGAATTGCATGTTTGACTCCAAAATATACGTTCTATAGATGTGATTATTTTGATCTTGTGGGTTCAATGTTTACTTGTAAAATGAGTGTATTCAAAAGCTTGAGATAAAAAAAAAGAAAAAGAAAATTATTTTTCTTTTTAGATGGATAAAAAATGGTTAGTTATACAAATTATTCTTATATACCCTCATAAATCTTATAAACTTTTTTATCAAATGTGTCATAAAATAATAAAAATCTTAAAAATTGAAACAAAACCCACTTTAATAGTGTAATATTTGCCACATCATTTGATACAATAACCACTCTCTTCTTTCTAGGCATGAAGCTTAGATTTAAGTCTTATTGTTGTCCATGAACTTTCCCTTCACTAATTCCCCAACTCATTTACCACATCATTACAGGTGAATTTGGTGATCTAAAATGTAAATCCCTAACATTGCTATTCGCTAAACGGAAAAATTGACTTTAAACCTTGACATCAGTGTCCAAGATCCAGTCTCTAATTGTCCCTTGCCATGTCCACCCACTGCAAAACCCTAGGGTCATGCATTGGGCCATTTTGAACTGACAACATTACCAAACGCAACCTAAGATTTGTCATATAAAAAAAATAAGCATCTACTAGTCATATAGAAAAAGTGCCCAAGTCCAACAAAATCCACAGTATCCAATCTTCTTTCCGATGTGGTGGCAGTAGCTAATAAGAACAATTCAAGAAACAAAAGAACAGATTCACAGCAAAAGTTGGTAATAAACCTACCACCCGACAAACAAAATTCCATCAAATAGTCACACACTCATGTCATAGATACACAAAGGCTACAAAAATCAAGGTGGACGACAGAAAAACCATCTCCATCAAGTCATAATGTTGGAGCTTCACAGAAAACCCTAATAATTCCAAAATGTTGTGAAACAGATGCTTCATTGAGTTCAATAGTTGGATCGGATGTCCTGTTGGTCACTAGACACACATAAAATACGGACTTCTCCAAGCAATGTCTTGATTTCTCCTACATGCTGATAGGAGAAAGAATCAACCTGGGGAATCCAATTGATGCTCATGTTGCTGAGTTCTCGTGCAGTAGAACATATTCGCGGCTGTTAAGAACATAACACAGGATCAATAAGAACAGATCCAAATGTAATAGAAAATCATTAGTAGGAAAGCAACAACAAATTGACAATGTAGGATTTTCAAGATATAGAGTGTAACGTAAGAATGATCCATATAAACAAAAAGCATAAACACTTTGATTTCAACATAATACAAAATTTATGGAAATTTGATCATGACCGGTGATGATGCCAGTACTGAATTATATTGTTCTACTTATAAAGAAAGAGTAAATAATTTGACCAATATTATCACATTGACAAATGGATTAGATTATAATGCAGTCCATGACTTCAATAAGTTCATCTGGGTTTTGATAAACGGCATACCTACTATTACCAAACTTTAAAGTGTCTCTTTCAAAAAGTTCATAATAACGTTGAGGTTCAACACGATTATCCTGCAAACACAAAAGCAAATGTTAAATCAAATTATGGGAATCTAATCAAATTCAGTTTATTCAGTGCACCCATGCAAAAATAAATAAATAAATAAATGGAAACAAGATACTGCTATCAATAGCTTACATTAATGAAAGTTCCATTTGTGCTTCCAAGGTCCATCACGTAAGGCCTAGCATGGTGGATAAAATAAATTAGCAAATAATAGTTGGAATTGTGATAAAAAGATACTGCTCCTTAATTCATGAAGCCAGTCTCAAATTCGCAATTTTTTTTTTTTTTCCAAATCACTTTAGGTCTTACCTTACTTGCTTTGACAAAGTACCGTCATGTTCCTCCTTTTCCACTTGGCTGACAACAAAGAAAAAAGAACGTTAAAAGAATTTCCAAAAAGTATAACATCACTGACTAGTGACTTACTAAGAAATTAAATTATGAATCTACCGGTATTGAAGGACAGCATGCTGTTTGCTACAGGATGGATGGTCGGTTGGGATGTCTGCTACCCTCCTTTCTCTCCCAAAAAGATAACAGCTTTGGCGATGTACATAAAGTGGTTCTGTACAATAGACATACTGCTTAGAAGCAAAATTGTAAGCCAGGGACTTCATTTATGAACAACAATCAAAATTTATTCTTACAAGCATGTAGGAATCAGCACAAAAGCTGTCTAGTATCAACATCACCATGGAAGATTAATGGTTATTCAAACTACCGCATTCATTAGTACCATAGAATGCATTAGCAGAACAAAAGAAATTTACTAATACATCAATGTAAATATGCAAGTACCTAACAATTAACAGAAACAACAAATAAATAAAGTGATCAATATGAACAGGTTAGATATGAACTACTTTTGTTTTTTTAATCACTTGATACAGGGGGGGCAATTAGATATGAACCATTTTTTTTAATTACTTGATAAAGAACACATGCACCCACACTATGGCTTACAAGTCATATAGGGGACTGTTTTTTTTTATTTAATCACTTGATAAAGAACTCACGCACGCCCACACTATGGCTTACATGTCCAAACCCACTCACCCCCAAAAGGGCCTACATCAACTTTATATTATGCCAACAAAATCCAACCAAAGCACAACCCTTCCATAAAGTATATGCCAAGGAATTTTAATAATGATATTATACAATTATATGAACTCCAAAGCCAATCAAACTTCAAAGGAAACTATGTAAAGCGATAAAAGACACTGGCATGGAGTGTAAATGAATCCTCAAAAGCAACAAAAGAAAGCAGTAGTGTTATTCTATTAGATAGCTTGATTTGATATAAATTGTTGGAACCATTTCGTATGAATTTAAACTCTTGGATTGGAACAATTGGTGATCTAACATGGTATTTCAGGGAGCTCGTGTTCAAGTGTCATCCTATGTTTGTTTTCCCATTATGTTTGTTATTGTGCACTTTATTTAGTTCAGTTTGTGTCTTTGTTTATTTACCTCTCCATGTGCAAGGCAGGGTTGCACATGATAGGGGGAGGAGGAGTGTTAGATAGCTTAATACACATTGTTGGGTCCATAATAACTTAAGCTTTTCAAATAATTGGTGATCTAACAATTAGAAATTTCTCACAATAAATATATACTTCAAACATGGATGAAAACATGAAATATACATCCGCGAGAATAAATTAAAGCAGGAATATTTCCCTTAAAATAAATACCATTTAGCACTTCACCAGCCTTGAAAACATACAGTCGCCATCTTATATCTGGTTTTCTAGCATCTGGGGGTTCGTTGAACAGCAGTGTCACACCTGATGCAAAGTAAGATCTAATAAAGAAAAGAACAAAAGACATAACAAGGATATGTAGAAGCTCATGTGACCATCACTTCTAACAACAGATGCTCCAAATCCCCATTTGAGCAATTCAATCTGTTTCAATTGACATTGTAGGTACGATGTGAATCTACAAGAATAGAAAGGTTGGGGGGAGAAGGGCTGCCCAACCAAAAACCAATAACGGAGTTATTCTGAAACATTACTAACATGTTTAACAAATCATAGCATAGTCCAAACCACATAAGATCACATGATTAAGCTACAAATTCATTGCTCATAAAGTGATGATAGAATTAAACAGCAACTTTCATAAATTTAATATATTCACTTAGAGCATTATTTGAAAATTTTCTTCCCAAGACAAAATATTGAAAAAAATATTACAAAAATAGCTTTCTAAATTTTGTGGGAAACTTTTAGAAAGGGCCAGCCCATTCCGATGCAGCACATTAATAACTATGTTCAAAGGACTCTGTGTGAGTACGTGTCATTCACTGCCATGGAAATTTACTGAGGTCATAAGCTAGGAAAAGCATGTGGTAATACACGCAAAGCAACAGATTGAGAAAATCAAAAAGATATATCTCAATATTCAGGTAGCCATATTCAAAATGATGGAAAGCAGGAGATCACCCCTTAATCATCAAAATGCAGTATAACATTTATTAACACCAACAAATCAACATGTTCACAGCTCTATTTAAGAGTGCCCCCTTCAGCCAAGTGAATAACAAAATAAAATTCATTATCCTAAAATGAAGGCAATTAGATTATCACCTCTGACTCTGTTAGTTTCCGCAGCAAGCTTCCCAGAGAGCTCGAATGAAGGTTTTTGCTGCAAATCACAGTTAACTTATAAGGCAACAGAATGCATGCAGAAACATCAAATCTATCCAAACAAATAAATGCGATATGATAATGTTGAAAACTCAGAGAAATGAAATAAAAAATAAAAAAAATTTAAGGCTAATCTTTGCCCCTGCAGATGTCCTATCTTATGGACGAAAAAATTATTCAAATAATCAAATAATGCTACAACTTATAGCAGGTAGCAGACCCAAAAAAATATTACCTTCTCCTTTTCTTGCAGGGCATCTTCAGCGGCCTTCATTTTAGCTACTGAATCACCATCACTATTCCTGCTCAAGTGAATAAACTTCTAATCAGAAACTGTATCAAAAGCAAAACAACCAAAGGTACATTAATGAAAATATTAAGCTATTTACAACCACAAGAAGTCACAATTATCCCTGAAATTAGATCAAATGAAAACTTAACGCTTCTACAGCAAGAAATCTGAGCCAAAATAGCTATTAGAGGAACGGCAAGAATTCAGAAAGAAACATATATTCACCTTTTTCCAAAACCACTTAACCTTGGAAATTTAGGAAAAGCAGAGTTTGGAGAACCCTAACAAAGCCTCAATAATCTTATACGATTATACCAATATTTCAACAGTCGTTGGCCAAAAGTGACAGTCCGGGATTATCATCAAATGGTTTAATGAAAGCACTAGTGGTCCTTAGATTGTCTCACAAGGGAAGCTATTGACATATCAGAAATCTTGGAATGCTATTTCAACAGGGCAATTTTTTAATTCCGGAAGACAGTAACAAGACACAAGGGGGACTTTCACAGTTGAAAATTATTTGGGCAGTCATGTGGCAGCATAAGATTATGTTCAAAGACATATTATGCACGATGTTATTGCACACTAGCATGGTGGAGAAAATCTGCTCTACACCTAACCTAATCCTCTGTACTATCTTTACTTTGATATAGATTTCATCATTACTAGTTGGGTATGAGAGGAGTTGGGAGAAGAAATAGAAGCAGCCATATGCCATGCATCAACAAGTGAAAGAAGGCAAAGGGGGCTGAAATATATGGCGAAGAAATCTGAGGGAGATATAGAGATACTGCTTCCCAGTTTCAATCGTGTTCAACTTACAAGGCCATTTCATTGACAACGTATTGAAAAATTTCCTCCATTTTTCAAGCATTACCAAAGATTTATTTACTTCACTCAATTGATATTTGTAGACATCACAGACTCAGTAAGAACCACGTTTCAATAATTATTTAAAGCTTACCGAAGAAAATCTAAATCCTATAGCGTAACACATAAAAGAAAACTCGCACTGAGCATACCACAGGAACATGAAGGAGCTGCCATCCTTCTAACTGTCCCATTAGTGCATCCCTATTGCTAACAGTCCACTAACACACAAACTGAACCGGGCAAGTCTCAATACACACCAAAAATAGATAAGGCACAAACAGTGCACCATAAAGAACAGTATCCTATACTGCATTACATTTACAACACCTATTTGAAAGAATTGTCCCCCATAGACTAAGTTGTCAATTGACCAGCAAAAGTTCAGGAGCAGGAGATAAAGTACATATTCTTTAGTTGAATATTCTATTTGTGCAACCTAATTTAATCAGGGATAAGAATGGAAAATGTTATCACCAGACTATAATTTTATGCTAACAAAGAAACACAAGCACAAATAAATGCACTATGCATTTCTTTGAAAGAAGTATTAGATCCAGCAATATCAGTAACCTGATCAACTTTTGTGCCACGCATCTTCTTAAGGCTATGAGCTGTTTACTTTTCTCATTATTCTATCCTGGGGTTGGCCAGTAAGAATCGTGATCCTAGTTCTTATAGAACTCATTTATATCAATTTCCATATGGTGCACGTATTTGGGTTTCTCAATAACTTCATACAAAAAGGATCAGAAGAGAAGAGAAGAGAGAGAGAGAGAGAGAGAGAGAGTGAGAGAGAGAGAGAAGATTCAAAACCAAGAGTATGATAAGAAGCAAACTACAAAAACAACATAAAAGCAACATTTAGTGAATGATCCTTATTATAATTTTCAGTGCATTACAAAATATTACAGAAATAGTGACTTAAAAGAAAACACCACAATATCAACTTCTGTCACAGCATGATGGTTCGAAAATGGTGAGAAACATATTCTTCCTTATAGTGACTCAAATGCTAAATATACAGGACAGTGTGACCACAAAGCTAGTTTGTAATAAGTCAGATTTAGTCTGAAGAAAATTCAGCTAAAATTTGAAGTTAATCAGCAGCTCACCTATGTTCAGCTACTCTCGAGTTTGTCACCTGAAAATATTTGAGTTATGGTCAGACACTCTATTTGAATAACAATGCAGGGCAAAATAGTAACACCCAATATCCATCCAGGCATATGTTAGAAGAACAAATTTCCTCAACCAAAATAAGTTTTAAAAAGTAATATGATTTCAAAGTGCTTTGCAAGCTTTCTTTTTTACTTACGCACACAGACCAAGAAAACTATCATACCATTTACTTTTTTGTTTGGGAGGGAAAAAAATAAAAAAAGTACAAGATAACCTTAAGTGGCTGTATAAATAGATTGCAAAGGGAAATTATTCAGCTAAAGTGACTTACACTATCACATAATCAGAACAAGTCAACTAATTATAAAATACAACCAAAAAATTAAAGTTGGACATAGGAAAACTGCATAACTACAGTTGGTTATATCTAATGCAATAATCCACAAAATACAACTCTACTGCAGGCTGCTGTATAATTTACTTTTGTAAATTATTTTTTTTCACTTATTAAAGCAATATTGGAGCGGCGTCGGACCCAATATTTAAGTTTTGCAGGGGCTAAGCAGTCATAAGAATCAAGCCTAGACTGTGCAGGGTGGGTGTCGTGGTGCATGTTGGTGTCGGCCATTTCATTGACAATGTATTGAAAAATTTCCTCCATTTTTCAAGCTTTACCAAAGATTTATTTACTTCACTCAATTGATATTTGTAGACATCACAGACTCAGTAAGAACCGTGTTTCAATAATTATTTAAAGCTTACCGAAGAAAATCTAAATCCTGTAGCATAACACACAAAAGAAAACTCCCACTGAGCATACCACAGGAACATGAAGGAGCTGCCATCCTTCTAACTGTCCCATTAGTGCATCCCTATTGCTAACAGTCCACTAACACACAAACTGAACCGGGCAAGTCTCAATACACACCAAAAATAGATGAGGCACAAACAGTGCACCATAAAGAACAGTATCCTATACTGCATTACATTTACAACACCTATTTGAAAGAATTGTCCCCCATAGACTAAGTTGTCAATTGACCAGCAAAAGTTCAGGAGCAGAAGATAAAGTACATATTCTTTAGTTGTATATTCTATTTGTGCAACATAATTTAATCAGGGATAAGAATGGAAAATGTTATAACCAGATTATAATTTTATGCTAACAAAGAAACACAAGCACAAATAAATGCACTATGCATTTCTTTGAAAGAAGTATTAGATCCAGCAATATCAGTAACCTGATCAACTTTTGTGCCACGCATCTTCTTAAGGCTATGAGCTGTTTACTTTTCTCATTATTCTATCCTGGGGTTGGCCAGTAAGAATCGTGATCCTAGTTCTTATAGAACTCATTTATATCAATTTCCATATGGTGCACGTATTTGGGTTTCTCAATAACTTCATACAAAAAGGATCAGAAGAGAAGAGAAGAGAGGGAGGGAGAGAGAGAGAGAGAGAACATTCAAAACCAAGAGTATGATAAGAAGCAAACTACAAAAACAACATAAAAGCAACATTTAGTGAATGATCCTTATTATAATTTTCAGTGCATTACAAAATATTACAGAAATAGTGACTTAGAAAACACCACAATATCAACTTCTGTCACAGCATGATGGTTCGAAAATGGTGAGAAACATATTCTTCCTTATAGTGACTCGAATGCTAAATATACAGGACAGTGTGACCACAAAGCTAGTTTGTAATAAGTCAGATTTAGTCTGAAGAAAATTCAGCTAAAATTTAAAGTTAATCAGCAGCTCACCTATGTTCAGCTACTCTCGAGTTTGTCACCTGAAAATATTTGAGTTATGGTCAGGCACTCTATTTGAATAACAATGCAGGGCAAAATAGTAACACCCAATATCCATCCAGGCATATGTTAGAAGAACAAATTTCCTCAACCAAAATAAGTTTTAAAAAGTAATATGATTTCAAAGTGCTTTGCAAGCTTTCTTTTTTACTTACGCACACAGACCAAGAAAACTATCATACCATTTACTTTTTTGTTTGGGAGGGAAAAAAATAAAAAAAGTACAAGATAACCTTAAGTGGCTGTATAAATAGATTGCAAAGGGAAATTATTCAGCTAAAGTGACTTACACTATCACATAATCAGAACAAGTCAACTAATTATAAAATACAACCAAAAAATTAAAGTTGGACATAGGAAAACTGCATAACTACAGTTGGTTATATCTAATGCAATAATCCACAAAATACAACTCTACTGCAGGCTGCTGTATAATTTACTTTTGTAAATTATTTTTTTTCACTTATTAAAGCAATATTGGAGCCGCAGTAGTCAGTGGCGGACCCAAGATTTAAGTTTTGCAGGGGCTAAGCAGTCATAAGAATCAAGCCTAGACTGTGCAGGGTGGGTGTGGTGGTGCATGTTGGTGTCGCACAGAGCCATTATTCATTTTGCTCTTTAAACCCATTTTCCTCTTGAAAAATGGTCACATGAGGTGTACATCATCATTTTCCGTTAAAAAAAATATATGTAATAGCCATAATTGAATGGTTGTATTTGACATAAAGTGAAAATCAAAGTTTAAATGTGTCACAATTAAAATCATATAAGTGAGAAAATTTAGGAACCTTTTGTGTAATCTGCCCAAAAACTGTGGCCAAACCAGTTAGATAGCAATAATGTGAAGAACACTACCAAACACACCACATCAAGTAGTGTAACCCATAAGCAAGTATTGTGTCTTAGTTGGTACATTTATTGGTATACTTGTTAGTGCTCCTAGCATTAGATAGACTTTATCCCATTATTAGACTAACAACAGCCCAATACAAACTTTCCATGTGTGTACTCATATTTTTATGTGCAAAAGGCATACAAAGCACAAGCCTCAAGCTGTGATACTTGAGCCTATCGGGAGTGTTGCCTAAAAATCAAAACCTTGATACATTTTGCATTAACCTTGGCTCAAGGCAAGCCTAAATAAAGCCTTTTAAAACTTTGGTAAGATATTTAAAATACACTTATAAAATATTTATTGATGTGACTAACATAAATCTTATGTTACAACTTCAGTTTCGTATTTACCTGATACACTGATTTTATTTTATTTTTCATCAATAAAGTGCATGATAAAGGCTATAATAACAGGCAAAGAGAACCACGAAACAATAATGATTCAAAACATGCAGTATATATTGATAACACACCAAATGATATTAATAATAGGACAGAATTATGAAACTATAGACAGTCTGATCCCAAAAGAGCATCCACAAACAAGAAATTATCATCTTCATTCCCCGTATCAATGGCATCCTCACACTGCTTGAGGAGAAGGAAAATTTAATGCTTAAAAAAGGCTCCCTTTGCTTAAAACCTTTTAAAGCATTTTCCTTTCCTTTTCTATCATTTTTTGCATAACAAGCGGGGGATTAAAGAACAAATCCAAGGAATTAAGTGGTTTAGAAAGTACTCTTGTCAGATTAAAAAGAATTGAAAAGCAGTGAGAATGCATTCACCAATGAGATAGTAAGCCAAAGACTTTCCCAATGCAAATACAAGGGAAAGAAAGACAAATAATATACATAATGCAAGTTTAAGGAGTGGATATCACCAGACACCTCGCTGATATCAGAAGCCATATTAGGTGAGCGAGATCTATGTCTACTCCTGTGGTGGTGATCTGATGGCGAAGTTGACCGCCCATGTCTCGATCTAGAAGACCCACCATCAACTGCATCCCTTCCTGACCTTCTCTCCCTTTTCTCGCTTGGCACTTCCCTATCTGAACCCTTTTCCCTATGTGTAGACCTGTCACCTCCCCTATTGTGATTCTTCTCATGCTCCCTCTCACTCACTTTCTCGGACTCTCTTTCAGTTTGAGCTCTTCCTAACTTTTTTGCCCGGGGTGAAGGCGACCGATATATAGGAGACCTTGATTTTGTACGTCTAGGAGACCTGGTTCGGCTAGCAGGTTTCTCTCTTGGCGGCGAGCTTGTCTTGTGTGAACTCTTGTGACGAGCAGGCGACCTTTCTCTTCGAGACGGACTTCTCTTACGGGGAGATCCTCGACCCCTTACTGGAGATTCCGAATGATTAGATACGTTACGTCCCATTGGTGAATTCCAATGCACTAGTGGACTTGTCTGAATGAGAACAGCCAATCAGAAATCAGCCAAAATGCTACAATATCAATAACAAGACTATGAAGGCTCATACATAGTTTCCATTACTTCCTATTTTGTTACCGAAAAAACACAAGAAAAGTAACTTAAATTCTTTATATGTCACAGTTTTGAAAACAAAAAACTTACCTTCACTAACCTAAATTGTCTACATCCCAGTCAAGGAAAGGTCTTTATTTTATTGGGCTCTAAGGAATGAAAATATTTAGATACAAAAATTTAACTTCTTTTCCTTTTCCACGTCACTCATACAGAGACGGACTTTAATACCCAAAGACTGTTAACTGTTAACTTCTTTTAATGCAAGTTCAACCAAAAAAAAACAGACTTTAATCGATTGAAGCTCTTAAGCAAAATACACAACTTTCCCACATTAAACTTCCAAAAAACAAAACAAAACAAAAAAATATATAAATAAATAAAATTGTACAAGCTACCACATTAAACTTCCAAAAAAAAAACAAAACAAAACAAAAAAATAAATAAATAAAATAAATTGTACAAAATATATATATATAGTTTATTCTATTCTATTGCACAAAGCGCACACACCTTTCTTGGTTTGAATCTGTCACATAATTTTAATTCCCAAAAAACCACAGCAACATCAAATTTTTCCTAAATATTTAACTTTACTGCAACATCTCCAATGTTGAATCAAAATTTTCATCAAATCTAAGTAAAAATTTGATGGAAAATATGATTTGATACAGTTCACTCCAATACTAAAACTAGAATTTTCATCAGATTTTTTCACATCCCATCCTGGTTGTCCGAGAGGACATCCGGACAGATGTCCTAAAGGTTATCCGGACATGAACAAAAAAGCTGTCAAAGTTGCTCTTGGGTGGCCCAACAGTAACAATTTAATTAAATTTGATAAAAGAAGAAAGGCTCCCTTCATTATTTGATGAAAGTTTTTGTTTTCCTCTATTTGATATGACTATGTGAAAGGGTTGGAGTGCCAAATGAGGCACTTTTCATCAAATTTTTTATTAAACATTTGATGCTGGATTGGAGATGCTCTTAGTAGTTATGATGAGGACTAAAAGATGAAATCAACAGCTCCCATTATTTCCCACCATTCATCAACATAGACTCTCTTTCTCAACCAGCCATTTGATAGGATATATATGTATATATATATTAGGGTTTAAGCACTGATTTGCTTACCAACTAACAATTTTCTGGATATTTCCAACTATGATGGGTATAATTGACATTGAACTGCTGGGAACCGAAATACCAAACATTTATCACTGGAAATTGAAATGAATACTGAACTAGGGCACCGAACATGCAAAAACTACTCAAACCCTAAAATCAAATGTGGTTAGAACCACCATGCTCTATAAATTGTTTGAAAACATGGAGGAAAATACTGTTCTTGGAAACACAGGTTGATTACAGAGACAATTATTGAAAAAAACGAAAACTTACCAGGGAGCCGAGAACAAAGAGAGTGATCGAACAAAGAATGGGAGATTTGTCGCTGAGAAAGAAGAGTCTTTGAGAGAAGAGAAACGGAGAGCGTATGTTCTTGACTGATAGGGTAGTAGTGAGAGAGAGATAGGGTTAGGTCCGTTAATCGACTCTGCGTTTGTTTTACAACAGCGACTTGAAATTTAGGAGTATTTATATATATGTATTTGGGTTTTATTATTTCTTTATTTTTTTTATAAAAAATTAAAATATATATTTTTATTTAATTTTTTTTTTTAAATTGGTGATACTATATGTATCAATTATTATACCAATTAGTGTACCAACATATGCTATAGTATTTCCATTTCAAAATTATGACTCTACCTATTATATAAATTAAAAAAATCCAAAACTTTTAAAATTATGCCACATCATTTGTTTAGTATATCAATTGGTACATATAACATTATTATAAATTAATACTTTTCAAAACTACACAGAGTTGGCCGAATAGGCTAGAAGTAGCTAGAAAATGAAATATAGACCGTATTTACTTTTAGTATAACCCACATGACATTTAGTTTAAATATATAATGCATATACTTCATTTTCTGATCACTTTTTAGACTACATTTTTATTCCTTACATGTAAAAAATTTTAAAAAAATAAACATAAAATAAAAAATTTCCAAAAAAAAATAAAATCAATAAAATAAAAAATCAATAAAAAAAAAAATTTAGTCCGCTGGACTATTTTTCTAATACCAAGTTCTAGAGGTCCATCTGAATCCCATCTGCAAGGCCTATCCTAAGCCCTTCGGCTTAGCAGTCTCTTCCTCAACTCTGTAAACAAACAACATATTAAATGAGACCCACAACTATCCTAATCTCAATTCCCCTCTCATACCCCAAAACAAACGGGGCTTACTCTTTTCAAATACGCCTTAATCTAAGCCCAGTCAGCGCTGTAAGCAGGTCAGCCCTTCGCCTGCACATGGATTAGGTAGATTTCTAGGCCCCGTTTGTTTTTAGAGGTAGAATGAAGGGAATTCATATTGTGGGGATTAATAGTGAGAGAATTGTTAGTGAGGGGATTAAGTAAAATTGTGTTTGTTTTAATGATAGTTATTAGTGTAGGAATTGTTAAATTATTTTTATATAAAATAATAAAACAAATAAAACAATAAAAAAATTAAACATTAATATTTCAAAAAAAATTCCCAATATAAAAAAAATAAAAAAATTCTAATCTCCTCACTATTTTTCTAATACCATATCCACCTCCTCCATCTCAATTCCCCTTTCAACCTCCATCTATATCACCTCCTCCATCATAATCCCCTCCTCAACTCTACAAACAACACTAAATAACCACACCTCCATCCTAATCCCCTCCCATCTATTTAACCCCAAAACAAACGGGGCCCTAGGGTTTATTTGAAAGTTTTCATGGTAAAAAGTTAATTTATTGATTTTAAAAGGGTAAATTATAAATACACTCTCTGGTCTTCTATAATTTTGAAAATTACATTTAATTTTTTGAGGTTTCTAATTTTATAATAAATTGTCATTTCTATTAATAAATCATCAAGTCAATTAATAATTTTTAATGATGTTAGAAATATATTTCAATTAATAATTTAGTTAATTTTATTATTGTATAAGAGAACAATTATGAATTTTATTTTTTTAGTTAATTTTGTTAAATAAAAAAATTCTAACGATGAGATATTTGTAATTTTTCAAACCAAATGGGGCAATTCGTATTTTAAATAAACCTCAGAGGGTGTATTTGTAATTTACCCATTTTAAAAATATATAAGAAAATGTTTCGTCCTCCCACTTGAGTATAGCGACCCTAATTTTCTTAAGTCATTATTTATTATTACTATTATTACATTATTTTATTTTTGAACTTTACTAATTGCGTGGCTATATAAGAATTTAATGTGATATCTAATTAATTTAATGTGTTATTTATTATATATAATTAATTTAAATATTTATATATATATATATATATATAAAGGTGTTATGTATATATTGAGTTTATTTAGGATATTTATATTTATATATGTTATATTTAGGTCAAGTTTGGCATCCTCCAAAAAATCTAAAAAGTCAAAAAGTCACTATCCTATTTAAGTCACATCATCTTATTTAACAGCAACCGACGGAGGGAGAGGAACAGCAACGAAGAAAAAAACAAAGAAAAGAAAAGAGAGATTAATCAAAGAAAACAGAAGGCGTGAAAAGAAAATCATGAAAGAGAGACGGCGGGGAGAAAGAGGAAAAAGGGAGAAAGAAAGGGTTATATTTTTATTTTGGTGACTTTATAAATTCTTCAAGTATTCTCTTGATCTTTAAAAAAAATAATAGTGAGTGTAAAATTTACTTTTCTTAATTTATGTTTAATTTGATATTTTTATTTATTTATTTTTATTTATTTGATATTAGTTTAATTTTGTATTTGTATGTAGACGATAGTTTGATTTCAATTATTTTGGTTAGTTGTGTATGTAATATTTAGGATTTTTATATGTAATTATGTGATGGTTGTAATCACACTCATAGATATATGAAATTAAAATAACCTTAGAATCCATAGATAAATTTCGAATACTCAACCTTAACTCTATGGATTGTTGTTTTATTTGAGTATTGGTGAGAAAGAGTGTATAAAAAGAAAAAGTGAGGATTACGAGATTTATTTGAATACTTTAGACTTGACATTGTTATGTTTGTTCTCATGAGTAGATGAGAGATTGTTTATATATATTGTTGTTTCGTTCTCATGAGTAGACGGGTGTTTTGATTTACATGCATACGTATATGTTAACCATCCGAGGAGTGTGCGTCAAACTCGAGACGATATCCCCGTACAAGTTTGACTTCGGAGCGGTGTTAAGTATACGGGAGACACAAGGGATATATGTGTAGGCTGGAAGTGGAGGGCCGAAGTGGTGGAGTTAAGGTACAAAGAATTAAATATGAACTTATTGGTATAGTTTGAATTGCTTTGATTTGTACATCTCGAAAAATAGTAAACGATCTCGTTAAATTACGAAATTTGGATAGAGGCATGTATACGTAATTCTAGACAACTTTTGTGTTTTGACTTTTTATTAAAAGATCGATTAGAACTTATAATCGGATTATCTTTGTTACAATAATTTTTGTTCATTTTAGCTATGCAAATTTTAGATACTATTTTAACCCACAAACGAGCTCATTTTTATTGGTTTCGAGAAAATTGAAGTAAAATATTATTTTGAACACTTTTCGTGTTTTAAACTTTTTTAAAAAAAAATCATTTTAGGGTAGTTTCTTTTCGTTTTCAACTTTAGATTTTTCGGTTGAATTCCGTCTAGGTTCTTCTATCAAGTTTTTCTCTCAACTTGCTCAGTTTCTACTAAATTCGTTCACATCACATTTTATAAAATTTTATTTTGTACAATTTTTGTTCTTTGAGTTTTGGTCAATTCGAATTATTTAAGCATGAAACAGTGCGTTTGTTTATACTTCTTTAGCAATTTACTTATAATTAAATTATATTGATTTTATTTTTTTGCAGAATGGTGGGTCTTACTAATTTTTTATGCAGGGCAGACCCACCATATTTTTATGTTTATTTTGTTTATTTTATACTCAATTTATATTCAGTTGTGTACGGATAAAAAACTAAATGCCAATGTATCTTAAGAAACTACCTTTTCATATCGGTGCGGGTGGAATTATTTGTCTTGTCCCGTAACAAGAATTAAATATATTTTTATTTGTGTCTGGTGGACACATGGGTGTCGCATCTTGTACTCATACTAGTATACTTGTAAAGTGACCCGTTTTGTCTCTTGACATCTTAGGTGCGTTCTATTTGAGAGCAGCCGAGCTTCCTTTGTAGGATTAGTTGGAGCTACGGTAGTGATGAGAAATAACTATAGTTGTTAGACATGTCTCTTGATTTCTTTTGTTTTCTTGAGTTTAGGATTGATATTAATTTATTGTATTTATTATTTTTTTTATGAGCTTAGTATTTTGACAATTTGACATTGTGGGTTATTTTTCAACTTCACATTATTTGAGTTGTTTTAACTAGTTGTTATTGTTTTAATGTTGGAGGTATTGGATAGTTATGAATCTATGATGGATAGTTTGATTGGTGTTTGTTAATTATTTTTTTTATCCCTTGTATTATTTTTTTTTTAGCATTGAAATTTACTTAAACCTTATGGAGACGAGAACATTTAGACTTTGTTTCATCCTTAGGATTTGGATGAGGGAATATTGATTGGGGGTTAGTCCTGATTTAATGTTTAATTATCCAAATTTTAGAGCGTGATAGTTTGGTATCAGAGCTCTAGGTTATCCTAGACTTGTAAGAGTTTAGGTGATCCTCGGATTGTGTAAACATGGGTAGCTGGTTTAGTTTAATGGTTGAATTTATTATAAGTATTTACGAACGAATTCTTTTTGTGTGTTTAACTTGAAGGTGATAGCTGGAAGGTATAATTTGAAAAGTGCTGAGCCCAATGGCACAGGGGAAGAAACAACTGCTAATGGGCGGCTATAACGCTGCCAAAATAATACAATAAATACAACCCAAACACATATTAATAACAACATGACTCAGAGTAAATAGTCCTTTCATTACATAAAGTTAATAATACAAAAGAGTTTAACAGAATTAAATGTCCTATTGGCTTACATCTTTCCAAGCCTTGACTTGGTTACACAAAAAGGAGACTAGCTCATACACATTTAGCCCGAGGCTTTACAAAAATATACAATTCAAATAAAGAAGTTCTTTCTCCCAAAATGTCCCTCCAAGCTATTGCCTTGGTGGAGGTAAGTCACCAACACCTGAAAATATTATTCCCAAATAGGGTGAGCCACAGCCCAGTAGAAATCATCTAGCACAATATATGAAACTTAGCAAAGGTTATGCATACACAACGTCAGTGATAGAGACATCCACAGTTATACAATCATAAAGTACCAATTTCCATTCATTTCATTACACGAACAAGTTTCATTATCTTTTGACAATCTAAATGAGACTTCAATTCATTAATTCTACAATCACAAATGCATGAACACTTCAAACTTCTCTTTCACGAAAATTTCGTCTGCGGGCAATCATCAAACGGGACCCATGTAAACGTAGGCTATACAAGTACCATAATTGCCATTTTACGGATATTTCGTCCGCGGGCTAGGCACCCATGTATAAATTCTGGATTTTCACCCAGGACACTCCGGCCAACTTAATTATAATAGAGTCTATCCCCTTTTTCCTCCTAAACAATCATTCATACATATGCAATGTATTTAAACACAACATCAAACAATGGAGCACATCCTCTTTCCACTCCCACATAATCATACATGTACAATGTATACATAATCATACATGTACAATGTATATAAACATAGTCATATTCAACGACAAACAACAAGAGATTAGTTTCAATTCACCTAATTCTCATGCAATTTCTACAACAATCATAGCTATCCTCCACCGATAGCCCAATACAGTTATTTTTAAACAGATATTCAATCTCATGACAGATAATTTGTTCAAATTTCCAAAGGATGAGTCAATATATAACCAATCTCACCATTCATACCAATACCCTCTCAATTTCACGCTTTCAATGACAACTTTAATTATCTATATAAAATAATCATGATAGTCATCTTAGGGCAAAACCTTCCCTTTTCTAATTATCAACCAAAATATCATTTTCAATCATTTTAACCCAACATAATTTCATTTTCACAACCCACATTTGTTGATTTCATGTTCATCAACAATTCCTCTTTCCATATTATACCCAAACCCTAAGTTTGTTTACCACACTCTCAAATCACACTATTGTTACACAAGATACAAATAACTAAGCTAAACATCATACGAAAGTGTAGAAAAGATCCCCACCTCAAAGGAAGAAGATAAGTCAAACAAGAGAGAAATTTCAAAAACGTCGAAACCCACTTCTATTTGGATCAAAATATAGATCTTGACGAGCTCTACCTTTTTCTCAAAGGTACTAGGGTGAACAGGATCTAGATGAAATCTAAGAAAAGAGATGAATTCTAGAGAGAGAGAGAGAGAGGCTCAAGAACAAGCTTTTTGGAAAGTTTTAGAGAGAGAGAGATATGAAAAAGTGATTCAAAATATCATCTTCTCGGACTATTATATGCGCAGTTCGCTCGAGCGTGGAAAGCCCCACTCAAGCGTCAGACACAAGGTTCCGCTCGAGTGTGAAAGTTGGAGCTCGAGCGTAGAATACACATTTCCAAAAGTTTTGCAGATGAGGGTCCCTGCTCAAGCGTGGGATTGGACCCTCGAGCGTCCAAAGCACTTTTTTAGTATTTTCAGAACTGCAAAAGAAATGCTGAGAAGTGGCAAATCCCGCTCGAACGTAAGAATGGCTACTCGAGCGGAGGAGCAAAATTTGTGAAGCCTGCTCGAGTGCAAGAATGCCCGCTCAAGCAAAAGAGCCAAAATCTAGGCAACAAAGGTTTAGAAAAACAAGCAACCAATTTGTCCCATACGCATAACTATAACCTGATAAAAGAGATACGAATAACAATTCAAAACCAAACCAACCAGAGTCCAGAATACAATAAGTAACGGATTAAAACCGAAATCGCTATAGCACCGACAACAGCAGCTGCGACTGCTATTGAGGCAACCAATACGGTGCAGGTTAATACAGGGGAGATGATGGCTCAATTACTTCAGGTTGTGTAGAACAATAATCAAGGCCAGTAGGGAGATCTCTTTGCGAAGTAAAACAAAGACTTTGGTTCTTTGGGAGGTTAAAAATTCTCTGGAGATAGAGGACCCATTGCAGCTGACGCCTAGGTCCAAAAATGTAAGATGGTGTTTGGTCATATGCAGCTCACCGAGGTCCAAAAATAGGAGTTGGCTACACATCAGCTTGAGGGAGCAGCCATATTTTGGTGAAACTCGTGGAAAAAGGGTCTAGATTTGACGACTTTGACTTGTACAGATTTCAAGACCCGTTTTGACCGGAAGTTTGTTCCTGCTGCTATTCGGTCTCAACTGAGTGATGAATTTTCGAAGTTGAGTCAAGAGGGTAGAACAATGATCGAGTATGTCACCAAGTTTAATGAGTTGTCTCGTTATGCCCCTTACTTGGTTGATACGCAAGAGAAGAAGAATGAGAAATTTATTAAGGGATTAAATCATTACCTGTTTAAGCCCCTTATTCCCTTTGATGCTAAACTGTTTGACAGAGTTCTTAACTTGGCATTGAAGTACGAGGAAAATGAGAAGCAGCCTAAAGAAGGGAAAGCTAGGGTCGAAGAGACTTCCAGATAGAGTCACTTCCAGTAGCGTAATGAGAGAGGTCAGCAATTTCAAAGGCCACAACAACAAGGTAATTAGGGAAATTTTAGATCTTAGGGTAATTTCCGGCCTCAGGGCAATTTCTAGCCCTAGGGGCACTATTATCAGAGACAAGGTGGTTTGCGCCCACAGGGTTATCAAAGACAGCTGCAGCAAGTGCCACAGTTGGGTTATCATCCTTCCTTGCCTCAGTTGGAGGGTCCTCCACCTATCAGAGCAGTAGCACCTCAACCGATCAATATGAGGTGTTTTGGATGTCAGCAATTAGGACATGTAGTCAAGGATTGCCGTAAAAAACAACAGACACGACAGGGTCCAACAACTCCAGGCAGGGCATTTGCAGTGATGCTAGGAAATGACAAAGTGCAAGGTGCTTTTAATCTTTTTCAAGAACCCATTAGAGTACTTTTTGATATTCGTGCCTCTCATTCTTTCATATCTAAACAGTTTGTAGAAAGAGAACACCTTGTAACTAGATCCTTATCTAGACCTATTCGTGTTGAGACCCCTTTAGGAGGAGCAGTTACTCTTTACGAGATGTGTAAAGATTTTGAGATTGACTTTGCAGGTAGAGTCTTGTATGCGGACCTAATTGTGTTAGGGTTTGAGGGGTTTGTAATTATTTTAGGTATGGATTGGTTGCGAAAACACTTTGTGACTCTAGATTGTGCTGGAAGGACTGTGAATATAAATATTCCCGGTATGTCGCGGCTTACCCATACTTCTAGTGATGGACAAGAGTCGGTGATAACGAGTTTTCTGTGCTCGGTAGAAATTCCTAAGCAGGATATTAGTGAGGTAGATGTGGTACATGAGTTTGAGAATGTATTTCAGGAGATACCTGGACCTCTACTTTGACGGGTAGTAAAATTTTGCATTAACTTAATGCCAGGAACTGCAACAATTTCTAAGGCGACATACAGAATGGCACCTAAAGAGCTTGTAGAGATGAAGAAGTAGTTGGAAGAGATGCTTCAGAAAGGGTTTATTTGTTCAAGTAACTCCCTGTGGGGAACACCCGCGATCTTTGTCTCCAAAAAAGATGACACTCTCCACATGTGCATAGATCACAGAGAGCTGAACAAAGTGACTATCAAGAACAAGTATTCGCTATCTAGAATTGATGATTTGTTTAATCAGTTGAAGGGGGCAGCCATGTTCTCTCAATTTGATCTCAGAATGGGTTACCATCAGATGGGTGTGTCAGAGAAAAGTATACCGCTTACTGCTTTTCAGACTCGGTATGGGTTGTACGAATTTTCTAATATGCCTTTTGGTTTGATAAATGCTCCTGCCTATTTCATGGACTTGATGAACATAATTTTTCAACCGTATCTAGATAAGTTTGTGATTATCTTCATAGATGATATCCTAGTGTATTCTAGGAATGAGGAAGAAAGTTGTATTTCAGCTTTGAGGGAGCAACAGTTATACGCTAAGTTTAGTAAGTGTCACTTTTGGGGACATGTTGCACTACAAGAATTTACACATTTGGCGACCAAAATTGGCGACCAAAACAATTTTAGTCGCCAAAAATAGTCCTTTTGGCGACTAATTTTTTTTTTTAGTTGCCAAAGGTTCAAATTTTGGCTACCATTTTAATTTAGTCGACATACATTGTTTTTTGGTGACTAAAATAAAATTTAGTCGCGAAACATATTGTTATAGGCGACTAAAAAACAATTAGTCGCCAAAAATTAATATTTTACGCTACTAATTCTAAGTTTAGATGCTGAACAAGCTGATTTGGCGACTAAAATGTGAAATAGTCGCTAAAAGTTGAAAAAAAAAATTTAGAGGGAAACCAATATAATTTGGCGCCCGATATGTCTGTCTGTCTCTCTCTCACATACACACACGATATACACTATCTCAAACAAATTTTGCTCTCTTTCGACACTACCAAGCCTCACCCCGCTCACCATCGTCGTTGGCCACCGGCGAGAGAGACCATTGCACATTGCCACCGCCACCTGCAAAGCACCAGTGCCACTTAATCACACGTATGTTTCTCTTACCCTGTCGCTCTCGGTCTCTCTCCCTCTCTGTCGCTCTCAGTCTCTATCTCTATCTCTATCTGTCAATGGAGCTCCCTCTCATTCTCTGTGCATCTCGGTCCCTCTCTCTCTTTCTCTCTCCCTCCCTTCCTTCCTCTATTTCCCCATTTCTCACACTTGTTCTAGGGTTTTATATGATTTTTGTTGTTTTATTTTGTATTGAATTTGAGTTAATGTTGTGTTGATTTCCCACACTTGGTATAGGGTTTGTGTTGATTTTTACACAGAAATCCCCAATTCAAGCTGGATTGAGCAAAAATTTGGGACATGATTGGGGTATTCGAATTCTAAACTATTTAGTAACAGTAATGAACTTGTACAGAATGTATTTATAATTTCTTCCAAAAATATCTGGTGCTTTTTTTCCTCTTTCTGTTACAAGGTTTCCATTCTTCTGATTTTATCTCTTCCAGCTATGGTGCTTTCACTGACTAGAAAAGACCAGCTCAAGGTGTTTCATCTCTATTAATTTTTTATTTTTTATTTTTTTTTTGTATTTTAAGAATGTGCTTTTATTACTTCGATTACTTATTTACTTTGATTTCCCTCTCTACTCCATATGTTTTGGATATCTTGTATGGTGAGTTCTTTGTCAACATGAACACACACTCTTTTTTGGGTAGGTAAAGAATTGAGATATATGAATCCGGTTAGGACAATTTTTTTTTTGTGTGTTCATTATGATAGGTCAGACTAACTAAACCTCTTGGAAAGAATACAAACACATTTACAAGGCTACCGTATCATGAAAGTATAAATGTCAAATCCAATTATATGACTACCAACAGTAGAGATTGAGGAACAAAATTACTTGTTTTGAATGATTTTTGCAATTTTAGCAATAGAAGTCCATACGTTAGTGTGCTAGATCCTTAAAAAAAAGGGTCAGTGATGTCCAGGCTTCTTGATATCTGGACCTCTTTAATCTGGTAATGTGCATGGTCAGCCCCCCACTCATAGATAACCCTCTTCTCCCAAGGTAGTTGAGTTCCATTAAGTGGCTTTTAACTCTTAGCTCTCAAGTTTTGATCTACCATTCCCAATATCTAGTTTAAAGTTCAGCTTATATGGCTAAATACTGATCAATATAATATTGTGTTGCTTATCAGGTTAGGGTGAATACTATACTGGGATTTGCAGCGCCGTCTCTATCAGTAAAACTCAAGCAAGCTTTCAGTTTTGGTTCAAAGGATGCTTCTATAATTGAGAGCCAGGTGCTGCATGTGACTCTTTTGTTTTTTATCAAATGCTCATGACCATAATTTGCCTACCTTGTATCCTAATGATCTTGTCAATTGCCTTGATGCAAGAACTCAAGTTTGATCAAGAAAATGATGTCCATTTCTTGGATGCATGGCCAAAGAGTGCTAACGTAGGTAATTTTGTTTTTGTATTTGAGGTAATTGTATTTATTATTGCCATTTCCTATTGATCTAAAGATCCCCATGTTTTTCCTCTCCTTACTGATTTTTTTTGAGGTTTGTGATTAAGACTTTTCAAACTTTGAATGTGATATTTCGTGTGAGAAAAATGCTTCTATTACAATCAAAATAAATACGACTTATTGATCTTTATGTGTTATTTTTCTGTATTAATGTTGTTAATCATTATATTTTTTACTTCAGCAAATTAAAATTTGCATCATGCTATACTTTTTCTTCAGGCCAGATTTAGCTAGAGAGACTGCTCTTTTGTTATCAGCAAACCATCTACAAAAGCAGCGTTTATCATTTCAATTGACCACTCCACTTGGGCATCCATTTAAACCACTTCAGGTTTGTATTTTGATTTTGGTTTGTCTTTTTAATAATGTTCCTTTTTATATCAAGGTTGTTGAGAACTTTGTTTGCTTGCAGGCTTTTCTCAAGTTGAAACATGAGACCAATGTTGAGCGCATCTTTGTCTTAGGGAACTCTGGTGAACAGTTTGAGATAACACTAGTAAGTTCCTCTGATCAATCAAATCTTAAATTTCATTTCCTCCTTGTTAGGATCTATAGAAGTTGATCAATTTAGCAACTCACAGATCTATAGAACTTTGTAACAAGACATCAGCATGGGTTTATTGATATGTTGTAATGCAATCTAGTATGATATACTAACCTTAAAAGAAAATTAATTATAAATTCAACAAGATAGTTGTCTGTTAGTGATGGTTAGATGTAGTAGTTTCCTTACATATGTGGCATTTGGTCTTGTAGGATTTTCTCGAATTGGTTGAGAAGTTTTTCTATCTTTCCGATAGAACTATACAGAAAATATGAATAAAATGCTTTATGGCATATTGTGCACACCATTCTATTCTAGAAAATAAATGAAATTTGTTAAGAAATAGGAATATTTTGTAATGTACTTGGATATCAGGTTAAATTAAAGGAATTGGATACCTAGAGGCAAACCTATGTAACTTTCTTTATTAAAATTTATTCAAACAAGGGCGTTAAGGAGGCGAAAATTCTAAACAGCCCCCGAACAACCATGTGACTGTCACGGACAGTTTCCCCATGACAATTAGGACTTGTGACAACTAACGCAATGTAATTCGGACCCATAGGCAGAGAGTTAGAGCCGAATATGTCCTAAACTTAGTCGAAAAAGGGCGTTTCGGGGGTGAAAATTCTAAACACCACTCGAATGACTGTGTAACTGTCACAGACAGCTTCCCCATGACAAATAGGGATTGTGACAATTGACGGAACGTAATTTGGACCCATAGGTAGAGCTTCCCCATGACAAATAGGGCTTGTGACAACTGGCAGAACGTAATTTGGACCCATAGGTAGAGCTTCCCCATGACAAATAGGGCTTGTGACAACTGGCGGAACGTAATTCGGACCCATAAGTAGAGAGTTAGAGTCGAATACGTCCTAAACTTAGTCGAAAAAGGGCGTTTCGGGGGCCAAAATTCTAAACAACCCTCGAACGACCATTTGAGTGTCACGGACAACTTCCCCATGACAAATAGGACTTGTGACAACTGACGGAACATAATTCGGACCCATAGGTAGAGAGTTAGAGCCGAATACATCCTAAACTTAGTTGAAAAAGGGGGTTTTGGGGGCGAAAATTGTAAACAGCCCCCGAACGACTATGTGACTCTCACAGATAGCTTCCTCATGACAAATAGGACTTGTGACAACTGACGGAACGTAATTCGGACTCATAGGTAGAGAGTTAGAGCCGAATACGTCCTAAACTTAATCGAAAAAGGGCATTTCGGGGGTGAAAATTCTAAATAGCCCCAGAACGGCCATGTGACTCTCATGGAAAGCTTCCTTATGACAAATAGGACTTGTGACAACTAACAGAACGTAATTCGGACCCGTAGGTAGAGAGTTAGAGCCGAATATGTCTTAAACTTAATCAAAAAAGGGTGTTTCGAGGGCGAAAATTCTAAACAGCCCCCGAACGACCATGTGACTATCACAGATAGTTGCCCCATGACAAATAGGACTTGTGACAACTGACGGAACGTAATTCAGATCCATAGGTAGAGAGTTAGAGCCGAATATGTCCTAAACTAAATCGAAAAAAGGCGTTTTGGGGGCAAAAATTCTAAACGGCCCTTGAACGACTATGTGACTCGTACAGACAGCTTCCCCATGACAAATATGACTTGTGACAACTGACGGAACGTAATTCGGACCCATAGGTAGAGAGTTAGAGCCGAATACGTCCTAAACTTAGTCGAAAAATGGTATTTCGGGGGAGAAAATTCTAAACAGCCCCCGAACCACCGTGTGACTCACATGGACAGTTCCCCCATGAAAAATAGAACTTCTGACAACTGACAGAATATAATCCGGACTCGTAGGTTGAGAGTTAGGGCATAATCCGGACCCGTAAGTTGGGAGTTAGAGTCGAATACGCCCTAAACTTAGTCGAAAAAGGGCGTTTCGGGGGCAAAAATTCAAAACAACCCCTGAATGATCTTGTGGCTCTCATGGATAGCTTCTCCATGAAAAATAGGACTTGTGAGAACTGACGAAACATAATTCGGACCCGTAGGTAGAGAGTTAGAGCTGAATACGCCTTAAACTTACTTGAAAAAAAGCTTTTCGGGGGCGAAAATTCAAAACAGTCTCCGAACGACCATGTGACTCTCACGGATAGCTTACGCATGACAAATAAGACTTGTGAGAACTAACAGAACGTAATTTAGACCCGTAGGTTGGAAGTTAGAGCCGAATACGTCCTAAACTTAGTTGAAAAAGGGCGTTTCGAGAGCGAAAATTCTAAACAGCCCCCGAACTACCGTGTGACTCACACAGATAGTTCCCCCATGACAAATAGGACTTGTGACAACTGATAGAATGTAATCTGGACTCGTAGGTTAGGAGTTAGAGCCGAATACGTCCTAAACTTAGTCAAAAAAAGGCGTTTTGGGGGCGAAAATTTAAAACAGCCCCCGAACGACTGTGTGGCTCTCATGGATAGCTTTTCCATGACAAATAAGACTTGTGATAACTGATGGAACGTAATTCGGACCCCTAGGTTGGGAGTTAGAGCCGAATACGTCCTAAACGTAGTTGGAAAAGAGCATTTCGAGGGCGAAAATTCAAAACAGCCCCGAACGACCGTGTGGCTCACACGGATAGCTTTGCCATGAAAAATAGGACTTGTGAAAACTAACGGAACGTAATTCGGACTCGTAGGTTGGAAGTTAGCGCCGAATACACCATAAACTTAGTCGAAAAAAGGAATTTCAGGGGCGAAAATTTTAAACAGCCCCCGAACCACTGTGTGACTCACACAGACAGTTCCCCCATGACAAATAGGACTTGTGACAACTGACGGAATGGAATCCGGACCCGTAGGTTGGGAGTTAGAACCGAATACGCCCTAAACTTAGTTGAAAAAGGACGTTTCGGGGGTGAATATTCAAAACAGCCCCCGAACGACCATATGGCTCACACGGATAGCTTCGCCATGACAAATAGGACTTGTGAGAACTGACGGGACGTAATTCAGACAAGTAGGTTGGGAGTTAGAGCCGAATACGCCCTAAACTTATTCAAAAAAGATATTTCCGGGGGCGAAAATTCATAACAGCCCTCGAATATGCCTTACATATAGTCGAAAAACTCGTAACACTTAGTTTAAAAAGCGACAACTTTATGAAAATAAAATCTACATATTCTAATAATTGCCTTTATATATTTATAGGATGAAGAAATTACATATTATATTGTTTGTGTAGTTGGTTAGAATAAATATTGCATGATACATATATATATATATATGCTTTCTTTTATTTCCAAGAAGACATTTCTCGATTGTTCTGCCTTAAATGCATGTTAAAACATGTTCCATATGGCTGACTGAATTGATATTTTGTAACCAATTCTAATATTTCATTTTTTGTTTTTCTTTGTAGATGATTTTGTTACATGGACTTGTGGATAATCCATATTGGTGTATGGAGAAGAATTTTCACTTTTGTGTAGAACTAATATAATACTTTTGTCGTCCTCAGCTTTTGTGTAGTTTATTATTACTGATACAGAAAACTTTTGGCAATCAATAGATAATAACTGTCGTGGTACATAGATCACCTTCTGTCGTGGTACATATATACCATTTGTCGGTGTACATATAGGACGTTTTGTAATAGTCTATAGAAAACTTTTGTCGTGATACATATATCACATTTTGTCGTCGTACAAATTACTACCATGTGTGGACGCGCCCTGAACGCCGCGGGAGAATCCTGCTTCGTTCATTTGGGCTTACCACAGTTCGGACTCAAATGTCACGGTTCTGAATCTAATCTCACAATGCGCGATGTGAGACCGATAAATCACCAAAGAGTCCAAATCTGGCAAATCGTTTTGGAAAACTGATTTTTATAAAGAAGTGCCAAACATGGACTGTTTTGCTAGATACAGAGTCGCCACATAAATATTTTATTTTGGGGGAATTTAGAAAGTCCTGACTCGTGCCTAAGGCCACGTGTTCGTCATTACCAAAGTTGCCTCGGCTCGGGAACTTGGGTACGATTGGGGAAGGTCATTTAATAAGCACCCCCGCTCGCCCGCTCAAAGATTGGCCTGTACTAAGTATGATATCTTGTTTTTGAAAACACATGGACTCTTATTCCGATTAATTAGCTAGTCTTACTACGTGATGCGCACAGCAAACAAGTATAGACTAAATCGCCTAATTTGGAACAAAGCATCGCACATCCGTTTGTTTAGAAAATGGTTTGAAGTTTGCTACTCGTAAGAAGGCTAAAATGCAGATTTCAATGAATTGTTCCAATTCAAGTAATCTAACCTGCACCCACAGGCATTCAGACAGTTAATCACATAAGCAATTAGCCTCATGGTAAGCATGCTTTCATGGCAACATTAGCACACATGCAGTATGCTAAAGCGTAAACACTCACAGTGTACTCCCAGCCAAAACAAAGAACTAGTTAGAAATCAT